TTGAAAGATTATTATGATTTTTGAAGATTCTGACTTTGACAAGAGAAAATTATTTCTGTTTTTGTTTGCCGTTGTTCTTAGCGACCGCTATAGCAGCGCCAGATCGCGTATAACGGTCGCGACCCAAAATAATTTCGCGACCTAAAATTTTTACGGGCTTTCCAATCTAAACTTGTTGCATTTATCTATGGTTGGACTTTTCAAAAATTGGGAAAATAGACCATAGCGAGATGTCGCGAGAAATTCCGTTGGAAATACAGGAGGAAGCGGCTGCGGCTACTCAAAATTTACTTCCGACTATAACCAGAGAGAGATATCAGCAGGAATATGACAATTTTTTGAAGTGGCGGCAGGATAGAAGTATAAACAGCGTAAATGAAGCGGTATTGCTGGCTTATGCTAAAGAATGTCTGAAATGTATTCTCCTACATCACTGTGGACAAAGATATCCATGCTGAAGCTTGCGTTGAGAGTATATGAAAACATCGACATATCAAGGTAAAAAGCCATTATATTCTTCGATATTTAATCATACTCATCTAAATTATATTTGTTCATAGATTTGGTAAACTGTTCATGTTTCTGAGGCGCAAAAACGAAGGTTATTCACCAAAAAAGCCAAAGTTCTGTCGGAGAATGACATAAATAATTTTCTACTGGATGCCGATGATTACACCTGGTTACTCGAAAAAATTGTATTGGTGCTTGGTATTCTTGGAGCTTGTAGGCGCAGCGAGCTTTGGTCACTCACAGTTGATGATTTCGAAGATTCGGAGAGAAAATATTCTTGTCTCATTAAGAAATACTAAAAATAAGAAAGATAGGAAATTTCTTATTCCAAAAACGGGCCTTCCGTTTGATGCCTATGGTTTATACAAAAATACATCAACCTGCGTCCTCGTAACTTTGACAATCCAAAATTTTTCATTGGTTACAAGAAAGGCAAGTGTGTTAAGCAAATCGTCGGTATACATACCATCGGGAGCGTACCGCAGAAAATTGCAAAATTTTTGAACTTGGAGAATCCAGAACGTTATACAGGGCATTCATTTCGTAGATCATCAGCAACCATGCTCGCCGAAAATGGTGGTGATTTACTATCGCTAAAGGAGCTAGGAGGATGGGAGTCTTCAACAGTGGCAGAAACTTACATAGAAAAATCAGTTTCCAAAGAATGAAAATAACAAATCAACTTTTTCATGATAGCTCCAAAAATAATGTGTCTTTAGTGGATACAAATATTTGCCATTCTTCAGTAGCATCATCTTCTTCTATAAAATCTGTAAATCCCTGGGAAGGATTACAGATTTCTAAGAACAACAAGTGCACTTTTAATTTCCATGTTCATTATCATGAAAAATGAATTTTAGTATAAGACATTATGTATTTTTATCCTTACTTGTGTTATTGTTCAATAAAATTTGTTATTAAATAGTAGTGTTTATTGCTCTAAAAAATCTGCAGTATGACGAAAAATCTAGAACGCAACACGGCCGATAACAAATAACGGCCTTGGCTGCTTATGATCCTCGGCTATCGCCTCGGATCACAAACTTCAGCCCGGCCGTTATTTGTTGTTTATCGGCCTTATTACGTTAATAACTATATCAGAGTAAACGATAGGGGTAAATTCCTTCGACCAATTTGAGGTTTTTTCTTGTTATTTCTAGATGTTTACGCATTTTTTCACTTGCCACAAGGTTGAACAATCAGGTGCGGTAGTTGCTAGATAGCTGTTCTGTGACTTATGCGTTGAAGTTCTTCTCAATATCGTTAAATTTTTAACAATTATTATGGTATACTCACTTGCAGAAAAAGTGGAAATAATCGAACTTTATTTTAAAAATAATGAATGTGACAATCGGGTTGCGCAGATATTCAATGAACGCCATCCTGACAACCACCTTTTTGGCAAAATTGTTCGCGAGTTAGTAGCAAAATTTCGCGAAACTGGTTCCGTTATAAATAAAAAGAAGCAGAGGGAAAATCCTGTAGTAAATGAAGCTATAGAGGTATTCGTATTGGGCCAAGTTGCCATGGATAGTACGCTGAGTACAAGAAAATTAGCCAATGAGACCGGCGTGAATCGTACAAGTGTCCAAAGAATATTAAAAAAAGCAAGTTCCACCCGTACAAAATTCAGTTGGTACAAGAACTCAACAAAGACGATTTTGACCGTCGTTTGCAATTTTGTGAAACTATGAGTGAACGAGTGGCGAATATAATAATTTCCTATTTAATGTGTGTTTTTTGGATGAGTGTACTTTCTTTTTAAACGGTGTAGTTAATCGGCACAACTATCGGTACTGGGCTGAAGACAACCCCAGGGTTTTTCACGAGGTGCACACACAAAATCCTCAGAAATTGAACGGGTGGGCTGGCATTTTTGAAAATTCTATTGTGGGTCAGTTTAACGATATTGAGAAGAACTTCAACGCACAAGTCACAGAACAGCTATCTAGCAACTACCGCACCTGATCGTTCAACCTTGTGGCCCTAACCGTTATGCCTTGCGGAACGTTTTCGATGGGCCACCCTGTATACTTATAGCCTGTTTGTCAATCAGACATATTCCTAAGAGTAATAGTAAAATAATATTTTTTTTTTAATTTTGCTTTGACCAATCTAATATATTTTTTTATTCAAAGGCTTCTTAGCTTTTGGTCAATATTAAAACTTTTTCTGGGTTTAGGAAGTGTGAAGGTGAAGTACTAACTCACTAGTCAACACATAACGTTTCACCATAGGTTCTGTCAAAATATATGAAGTAAAACTAGTAAAGTAAAAATAAAAAATTATCGGTAATTTTGGTAATATTATTGCAAGATCGGTAACATTGGAAATATTGCTTTATTCCGCTCTACTTTTTTCATTTACCCAGCTCTAAAATAAGTATGTTGGTTATAGACATTTTAAATTTACTATCAACAGCCACAACCGAAAAAACCTTTAGTACTTAAAATTTTGTTCATCGGCCAAGAAGAAACCGACTTACCCTGGAAAGGGCCGAAAAACTTACTTATATTGCTCCATACTTATAATTTAATAAATTGAGAAATTCATACCAAGAATGGTAGAAGCTGCTGAGAAATAAATGACAGAAGAAGAAGATATCGAAGTAATAAACTTGAATCAATTAACGTGTAACGTTTTTAGTTCGTTACATGTCTTTGATTATGATATATGATGTCTGGGCACAACCCTGTTATTGTTTGGCACAACCCTGTTATTGTTTGACACAACCCTCGTATCGCTCTGTGGGAGCGCGCGCTGTCAACATCGCTTCTGTCAATTCTCTGTGATCTAACTTCACTTTTGGTTGGACCGTTTGGCCTCTTAGACGCCATTAGTCCCAGTGTTGAGAAATGGTGGTCATTTAAATCTGGCTGTATTATCTGAATCAGCTGCCATTTCGAAGCTACATTAAAAAAATTAAAAAAAAAAAAAAAAAAAAAAAAAAGCTTTTTGGTAAAGCTGAGTTATTTTCCTTTTAGATTCGATATTATTAGTGAATATTTTTAGGGTAGAGTTACGGATGTCCCAACTTGTATTTGTATTTGGCTGGCACGTTGGCGTCCCTTTGCTTTTGTCCTCCAGAATGTCATTTGGAAGAAAGGACAGATTGTTTATTATTTATTGAGCCCTCGGAAGTATTTCGAGGTAGGTTCATTTTGTTTATTAGACGGTGTTTGATTTTAAACAAGAGTTTCGTGTTCTTAGGGTCTTACGGACGGACATTGTCTTACGGACAAGTGTCCAAGGTATGGACTATTTTTCAAGGTCCTAGTAGTGTTCTCTTGTGCCACTATCTTATGGACGGATGTCCCATGGACAAGTGTCCCCAGTAGGATTGATTTGTCTTACACATAGAGTGCCCCAGCGTGGATGTGGCTTGAGCCCCGTGCTGCTTCACCCCCATTTCTAAGCCTGGATCGCCGACAGACAGTACAGAGATGCTAGACCTCCTCGCGCTGCTACTGTTTGAAGCAGGGTTACATAAAAGAACAGCTAAGTGTATATTTAAGTTCTAGTTTTGCATTTAACATCTAAAATGTTTTCAGTCTTAAACAGTAACGTACATTTTAAACAATAGCGTACAGACTATATTTAGTGGTTAGATTATTAAGGATATTTATGTCGATGCAGTAGTAAAAGTGTGATTTAGATTTTAGATTTCATAATATCACGCATTGTAATAGTATTACTTTCTATAGACATTATTATTACGCTATACTAACAGATGAATAACGAGATAGATTCTAGAATCTACAGGTTGCAACACATCTGATTTAACACCGTATAAATTTAACAATTTAAATAAAGTAATGCTACTTTTCCTATATTTTCTATAACGTTACACGCATTGTATTTTCTTTATAGTCTTTTCATAGAACGTATTTAATATTATTTACATATATAGTTTTACTCAACAAGTAACCACTATAATAATTATATTAATTGTACAATGCTATTTACCATCAGAATTCATCACGAATAAATATAGTCATTAGTTTTAAGTATTATACAACTGTGTTTTCTTTCTCTGTACATGCCTGGCGCCCAATATCTATATATCTTTTGTTTATTACTATTGATTAATTTTCTCTCTAGTGAAATACCTTATCCACGACTGCTCTCCGATGAAAAGCTGCCGTTCGCAGTGGTAGTTGTTTAAAAAACGCTACAAACGCAAGGGAAGGAAGAACCAGATGACAAGATTGAATATAATTTACTAGTATCCACTCTATTACGTACTAAAACATAATAACTTTTACTCTGACTATTTTAAAAATGTCCTTGTCTTCTACAGTTTTGAAATAAAAAAGTAATATTATTTAAAAAGCTATTAATTTATAAATTACCGGTAATTTTACATCACTAAGTACTACAACATTTACTTGGATTTTTTAAGCTTCTTCATTACATCCTTTCATTGTCCAGTTTTACGCATACCCTGTCGTCAAATACTGCTGTAAGATTCACTAGTACTTACTACAAACATGATAAAAAGTGTACTTTGTTTATATCATGACTGCAGATTGCAGTCGGCGCACCAGGAAAAGTACATTCATGCTTTCCGCAACGTGGCGGGAACGGAGCGGATCCGAGAAAAAAATGTACGTCGACATATTGAGGAGCTTTCCTGAGGAAGATTAAAGTATTACTCACCCAGATGTCAATTTCGGGTCCGACGTACTTCTTGCCTTCGAAAACTTCTGGTGCCGCGTATGGCGGTGAACCGCACCAAGTTGACAGTTGTCCTCCCACCGTATAAAAGTTGGAAAAACCAAAGTCTGCTATTTTTATATTGTTATTTGAATCTAATAATAGATTTTCAGCCTGTCAAAAGAGAAAAAACTATGTAATTATAAAAATGATTATAATTAACAGGCTTCAGGAGTCAAGTCAACTGATTAAGTCAACACTTTAATTCATTCATTTCGTATCAATATAATATGACCGTCTATACTCGACAAATCATATAAATTGACCAAACAAGTTGATTCGTGTTTCGATTGCTTTTAGCGTTCAAGTGGTGGTTTTAAAATGGCGACAAATAGGTTTATCAATCAGTTTATTAATATTTATGAAAAATATGGGTTTCTATATATGACACCTGTCATATAAGCTTGAATCCAAAACACAAAATTTAAAGAGTCATTTCTGGCTTAAACCGAGGAGAAATAACTTATTTGTATTAATGTATCTTGTTTTTTAGTTGTAGGTGCAACTTCGTCCAACAAAAACTTTAACAAGGTTAAATTCGATTGGATTGCATACACTCTTATCTTTTCCCTAATTTCTAGTACCTATCCTAACTTATAGCTTATAGATATTAAATTGATAAATGCACCGTAAGTAGATCTGTAGCTAATCCATTTTCCGAACCATATTCTTATTTTACGCCTAGTTTTTTTCGCCTAGGCAAATCTATTCTCAAAATTTTGGCAGTTTAAAGTAAAGGCCATTTAAGGTGGTTACACATACTACTGCAAGCTTGACAAGCATACATGAACAATCTTTTTGTACAAGCATGCATAATTTATCTTCGCCGCCACACGGTACATGCATGCTTGAACAAGCTTCAGTTTATGCAGCGAAAAAGAAGAAGGAAGTCCGAAGAAAAAGAAGAAGGAATCCTGAAGGCATTTATCTTTTTACTAACGGTATCCTTATCGGCTTGGCTGTCAATTAATCTATACTTATTAAGTAAAATTTTGTATACTGCATCTTTCTTTATCCTATCATGATATTCTGGTGATTTAATTCGCCAAAGACACGGGTGATTTTCGTATGCGCGAATAAAATCTTCCAATAATCCTCGATTGCTCGCTAGACATGATGGCGACGCGACGTACAGGTCATTTACGATCACTTCTTCTTCTTCTTCTTTTAGAAGGCGTATCGCCTGTTTAGTTCGGGTTTCCTCCTCGTCTAAGCAACTCTTGCGAGGTTGACTGCCAACTGTCTTGCCAACGTTTAGGTGGTCGTCCAGTAGGTCTTCTGCCATGGGGTACGTTGTTGCGAATTATTATGGCCATTCTGTCGGGGCCCATTCTATTGACATGCTGGTTCCATTTTCTTCTTCTCTGCCTTATCCATCTGACAACGTCGTTTGTTTGGCACTTTTCTCTTATGTCTACATTTCTTTGTCTGTCCCTCAATGGGTATCCAGTTATCATTCTTAAGGTCTTCATTTCAGTAGTTCCTAGGATTCTCTTTGTTACTGATGTTTCAGCTCTGGTTTCCGCACCATATGTCATCACTGGTCGTATGCAGGTTTTGTATATTCTTGACTTACATTCTGTACTCAAATGTTTGTTTTTCCATATGGGATATTTAAGATGTCCTGATATTGCGGCAGCTTTATTGGCTTGTTTCCTTACTTCTTCTTCCAGGAATCCTGAGCTTGTAATTTTGCATCCGAGGTATTCGAATAACATTATCTGATCAATAGTTTTGTTTTTTATTACCAATTTGCACCGTAAAGGCTCCTTTGTAATGGTCATGCATTTGGTCTTATTTGTGGAAATTTCCATGTTAAGTTTTTCTGCCTGTCTGTTAAAAGCTTGTAGCATTCTTTGGAGGTCGTCCTCTGACTCTGCAATAAGTACTGCGTCATCGGCATAGCATAATATGTTTACTTTATGCATTCCCATTCGATATCCTAATCCAGTATTCTTGACGGTTTTTATTACTTGATCCATGATTATGTTGAATAACAGAGAGCTAAGACTGTCGCCTTGGCGAATACCAGTTGTAGTTCGAAGGTGCTGCGTTAAGGTAAAGTTTGTTCTTATTTGGGTTGTTGTGTTTGTGTTTAAGTCCTTGATAAGTTCTGTGAGTTCTTTCGAGACATTACTGCTTTCCAAGGTGGTGATGATGTCTTTTAGTTGGACTCTATAAAAGGCCTTTGTTAAATCTATAAAACACAGATAGGCTGGAGAGTTATATTCTAAGGATTTTTCAACTAGTTGCCTGAGTATGAATAATGCATCGGTAGTTGATCGGTTTCTTCGGAATCCTTGTTGTTCCTCGCTTATTGGCACTATTAAGGAGATTTTGTCCGCAATGATCTTAGTCAGAAGTTTTAGCGAGGTGCTCAGTAATGTTATTCCTCTATAGTTTGCTGGTTCTGTTTTATCTCCCTTTTTAAAAATGGGTATTGTTATACTTTGTTTCCATTCTTCTTCTCTTTACGATTTTTTTTTACGATTTACGATCACGACTGAACTAATTGTTTGTACAAGCTGAATACATGTGGTACACACGTACCGTTTCGCTTGCGCAAGCATGGCTTGTCCAAGCTTGCATGATTCAAATTCAATCAATCATCAAGCGGCTTGCACAATTAAAATGCTTGCGCAAATTTTCCCTACAGACGCTACAGTTTGCTTGTACAAAAAGATTGCTCATGCATGCTTGTCAAGCTTGAATTAGTGTGTGTAGCCACCTTTAGACTCTCAGATAGTTTGCGCAAATCGGCTTGTGCAAACCAAACTGTACCAATAAATCGTAAAGTGTAAATATAAATCGTTTGTGCAGTTCAAACATTTGGCTTGAGTAAAATATGTCTCGTCTCGATTTTTAATTGAGCATTACCGCGGTTTTAGACATTTTGATATTTGTTGGTTAAGATTTAACCTATAGATTTAACGTTATAGTTTGTTTATCAAATGTCTTTTTGGTTATTTAAATAAAAATCGTCAGACACAAATAGCACAAACTAACTGAATATGTAAACGAAAAAATAGTCTTTAGCAAATTTTGTACAGTTTGACTTACGCAATTATCTGAGTAAAGGGCATTTTTTATGCACTGTCGCCATTTTGAATGACCTAGCAAAAGCTTTTTGATATGAAACACGGGATACCTATACTTTCAAGTCAGTTGAATTTCCTTGACTTGGTTAGTTGATTTGACTCGTGAAAATGCGCCTTAAAAATACACACACCGGAAAAGTCTAGGGATTTTACAATTTTATCCAGCCATCGTCAGTAATTTTATTATTTGCATTTCTGATATAATAAAATTAAAATAAACAAATAGTTTACAGGACGTATTGGAAACAAAAATGCGAAATTTACCGAATTTTTCAAATTTACATTGATTTTTATTAAACTCAAAAAATACACACATTTTTTTTTCTTCTAAACTGTGAATTAAAAAAAAAGATAAAATAATTTTTACTTAATAAAGGGTATGGCCTCCTCTACTGTTCATTACAGCCCTACATCGTCTCTCCATGCTCCTGATCAGGTTGTCGATCTCTTCTTGAGGTACAGCCTGCCACGCTGCATTCACGGCCCGAACCAGATCCCTACGAGTTTCACGAGGCATACCCATTCTCAAACTTCTTCTTTGGACCGCGTCCCATACGTGCTCGATGGGGTTGAGGTCAGGAGATTGTGCCGACCAGGGTAAGATATTTAATTGATGAGCATTGATAAACTCACTTACCACTCTGGCTGTATGAGGCCGTGCATTGTCATGCATGAGAATAAAGTTTCTCCCAAAATCATTGGCATATGGTAACACGACAGACTCAAGAATTAAATCACGATATGTAATTCCTGTTAGAAACCTTTCAAGAAAAACGAGATCGGTTTTTCGGCCTAACTGGACTCCTCCCCAGATCATAACTGGCCCACCTTGATAAGGGTGCACTTCCTGAACATGATCCAACCGAATAAGATTTCCCGGTTCCCTCCATACCCTAAGCCTTCTCGAATTCGGATGAATTCCAAAGCGTGACTCATCCGTGAAGAGAACATTGGCCCATTGTTCATTCGACCACTGAACATGATCTTGAACCCGCAAATATCGTACCTCTCGAATTCCTCTCGTTAAGGGTTGAGCTCTCCAGGGGCGTCTGCTTCTTAGGTTGACCTCTCTTAATCTACTGCGAACAGTGTCAGGACTAACGGTTACATTATGATGTGTTTCCTGGAGAATTAAACTGAGCTCTGGTGCTGTAAGAGTCGGTCGGCGTCGAGCATTTAATTGTAAAAAATAATCTTGCTGAGGGGTAGTAATGCGATGTCGCCCTGTGTGCCTCTCCGCAATATCACCACTTTCACGGTAGCGTACACTTAATCGCGATATTATCCTTTACGTTGTATTTAATGCTCTAGCTACGTCGATTTGGCGCATTCCAGCTTCAAGCATAACCATGGCTCTTAGCATTTCATCTCTGTTAATATGTATACGCTCCATAATGTCGTTTAATACTAAACAAAGTTATTTGAATGAATGCTGGCCAGTTATCATAAAAACATAGCCAGTACAGGTTAAATTCGAACAATTGATGCTAGGTGTTTTTTATACATTTGACAAAAAATGCACAAACACTTCTGCAAATATCCCAAATTTAGAAATAACTAGTGTGACTACTTCGTTTTAATCGAAGTAGAAATAATCGGCCTACAAATATGTGGTTGTTTATTCAAAACATTTATTTTTAACTTTAATAAAATAATATCCCTAGATTTTTCCAGTGTGTGTAGTTACCTTCAAATCTCGATGTACAATGTTACGATTATGGCAGTATTCGACAGCCGACAATATTTGCCAAAATTTAACCCTAGCTTGTTCCTCGCTCATTCGACCATATCTCGCGATATAATCTGGAATTAAAAAAAACGTATATAAATATTTGGATCACTATACTACGGCGTGATTGTCTTAAATTTAAAAGATAAAAATAGAGAGATGTAAATATTAGGGTCGTTAAACAGCTTTCTTTTAATAATCGCAAATTTGTTTAGTCATTCGTTGATGAAATAACAACCAAAGATAATTAGATCATACGACTTCTAGTTTTCTGTTTATAACTACCAGCAAAGCCATAAAGGCTCTCATGATATGCAGAAGACTGGCCGGAAATAGATGGGGCTGCTCCCCTAACATTTTGCGCTAGATGTATACCATGATAGTAAGACCCATGATTACTTATGGAGCAGTTGCCTGGTACACAAAACTAGAGCAACGGACGGCAAGGCTAAACCTATGCAAAGTCCAGAGACTAGCATGCGTTTGCATCACAGGAGCCATGAGAACCTGTCCAACAGCAGCAATGGAGGTCATTCTAGATCTAACACCACTGCACATTGTCATTGGTAGATATGCCAATGCGACAATGATTAGAATGGTCACTAACGGAATTAGTACTGGGAGAATTGTCAGATCAGGGGCTTGGAACACCCTCAAAAAAGGAAATACCACTCCTGCAACTCCCAGTGGACGATATGCCAAGAACGTACAACTTTGAGAAACATCTCAATGTAGTATTGAGCAATAAAAGGATTGAAGAGCGAAACGCTTGCCCAGCAGTTAAAAGACCATACCATAACTTGGTATACTGATGCTTCCAAAACCAATACGGGAACAGGGATCGGAGTGTTTGGACCGAGAGCTAAATACTCCGAACCAATGGGCACTTACCCTAGTATCCTACAGGCAGAAATCTACGCTATCGAAAGATGCGTACAACTTATCTTAGATAGCAACTATCGGAAACAAGAAACAGCCATCTTGTCTGATAGTCAAGCAGCGTTAAAAGCGATCAACTCAGTATCGATCAATTCGAAATTGGTCAAAGAATGCATAGAGAAGCTGAATAAATTAGGCAAAGAAAACAAAGTCCTCCTACTCTGGGTGCCTGCTCACCAAGGGATAGAAGGCAATGAAAAAGCAAATAATCTAGCTAGGAAAGGAGCTAACACTCCACTAACTGGACCAGAACCGTTCTGCTTTCCAAGTGGTAACCAACTCAAGGCGGAACTCAAGAACTTGGAAGATTCCATCCGCAACCTGGAATGGAAATCTTGCAATGGTCTAAGACACTCGAAGAAGTTTCTGAGGGCTTATGATCAAGAAAAATTACAGATCTTCCTGGGTCTGAGTAAGAACAATCTTCGGATTGTCACGGGGTTTTTAACAGGACACTGTCTCCTCAATGAACACCTCAGTAGATTGTAACTAAGAAGAAACGGCGAATGCAGATTCTGTGGGGAAGATGGGGAAACACCAGTACACCTCATCACTGAGTGCGCCGAGACGACAACCATTCGTGCCATGTATTTTGGTACGACTGATATTGGAGATGGAGAACTACCCTCTATAAAACCGTCTCAGATACTGGCTTTTGTCAAAGCCCTGGGACTGTATGATGAGTTATGACTCAAGAAAGGGGGACACAATGGATCTGTAAGGTCGCAGTGATTAACCCCCCTCCCACTCATTCTAAATTCTAAAAAAAAAATTTCTGTTTATAGTTATCTGTCTAGTTTTTTCTAGTTTCTTTTTAATGCTACTTTAAGTACACCTTATACCTCCTTTATATTTTATTTAAACTCGTTAATTGGTAATGCAAGATACAAGAAAATGAATATTAACATTTAAAAAGGTACTTAAATTGAATTCTAGGCTTGAGGGTTATTACATTGATTTAAGTCATTTTACTGACGGTCAAGTCGTGGCACATCAAAGTTTTATTTTTTTAAATAGAACCCTCTGTATATTATTGCATATTTCAATTCCTCCTTCAATTCTATGCAAAAATCGAAATACACACAATGTACCTCAAACCAACCGTTTTCGAGTTATTGACTTATGAACATATCACTTAACCTCTTAGTAAATTTAAGTATACAGGGTAGCAAAAAAACACTAAATCACCACAATACACCAAAACACTTTTACTTTTACACTGGACGCGCGTTTCGCTAACCATGTTAGCATCATCAGCAGATGATTAAACCAACCCCCAACTGTAATCTTCGATGGCTTCACAGTCAACGAAACTGAATCAGTTAATCATCTGCTGATGATGCTAACATGGTTAGCGAAACGCGCGTCCAGTGTAAAAGTAAAAGTGTTTTGGTGTATTGTGGTGATTTAGTGTTTTTTTGCTACCTTGTATACTTACGTAGCTATTGCTATTTTATTTATGCTAAGTAAAATACTGTATTAACCAAAAACAATGTTTAGTTAACGTTTTCATTAATACCGTAGATTACAGTTGAGGGTTGGGACCTTTGGTGTTACACAGCAAAATAAAACACTAAATCACCACAATACACCAAAACACTTTTACTTTTACACTGGACGCTCGTTTCGCTAACCATGTTAGCATCATCAGCAGATGATTATAAACTGAAAAGTGGATCTGCTGATGATGCTAACATGGTTAGCGAAACGCGCGTCCAGTGTAAAAGTAAAAGTGTTTTGGTGTATTGTGGTGATTTAGTGTTTTATTTTGTCGATTAATACCGTAACTTTATGCTGAAATACCTACGAGTAATAAAATACGAAATTCAGCAAAATTTCAGAAAGAAAAAAATAAATTAGTGTAAATTCTCCGGTGTACAATACAAATAAATCTAAGTAAATGATCTTATTTTATTAAAAAAAATTCCAAAAACCCGTCCACTAAAATGTACCTACCTACTATGTCTTTAGTTAATATTTGGTGGTACTGTCTATAAATATTGCTCGCTAATGTCATTTTATAGTTCCTGAATTCAGAAATCCCTATCGGACGCTGATAATTCCGATATCGAGCTACAAGTGCTTGGATTACATATGCACACAGGCCACCTTATTCAAATATTCAATCATGGCCTACTAATAAATATGATCTTTTAATAAAAACTTTTAAATATTACAGTAAATAGTGAAAATAAATATAGAGTGTTAGATATTTTTGAGAAGCTTATGGCAAGCCAGATTATATAATTTATAAATATATGGGGTGTTCCATTTAAGAAAACATAACTTTAGTTCATATCTTTAAAAATATTATTTTCGTAGAATAACAGACTACGCCACTGTATTCTACGTAAAAAGTTCTACAATAAACAGTTAAATTTTTTCAATCTCGATAACTTTAACAATAAAAGATCGCGCACACTATACCTACACGGACCAGTACGGACCAGCAGAGCACAAACCTGCATCCTGCATGACGTCGCACACTTTACCGCCACAGACCAGCAACATAAGCGAGAGTTTCGAAAAAAATACAGTTGTCAAGGCTCAACTACTAGAGCGTGCAACATAGAAGTATTGAAAATGAGTAGTTCAGAGGAAGAAATTATTATTTTAGCCATGTTGTGTGAAGAAGAGGAGGAAGAGAAGGAAGCTAAGAAAAAAAGAAGATTTTGGGTTCACCCTATAAATCAAAAGAGAAAGCAACATGGCGAATTTCATCATTTGTTTCCTGAATTAAAAAGATTTGAAGAAAAGTTTTTCCAATATTTTCGAATGTCACAAATTAAATTTGATTATTTTTTTTTGCTATCGACTCCCATATTGCATCTTTTCTTTCTTGGTCTCTATATATAAAATGCTTGGCTCGTATATCGCACAGCTCTGGATACTTTTGTACCAGTAAAATAAGCTTTTCTTCATTCATATTTAAAACGATTTAAAGGTTCGAACAAAAATAAACGAAATCTAACCTACATCATGCGACTTGAGCCAGCTAGCGTACTCGAAATACTGACGAACCCTTCAATATTTGCATGTTTGTGGAGGTGTGCTGGTTCGCCGGTGCGCACATTAGGTCGGACCAGCACGACCAGGCATAAATATTGCCGGTCATATTTGTCCCTGACCGACACGACCTGTTTTGACGGTCGTGGCTTGTGGCGGTACGTGCTGGTACTGGTCTAGTGTGCTCTACTCTATTAAATAACACGGTCACTTTCACCGGTAGATTTTACTGGTCTGGTCCGTGCCGGTCCGTGTTTGTTTGGTGTGCGCGATCTTTAACAGAGATACAGGCAGGGCCGGATTTACCACTAGGCACACTAGGCAATTGCCTAGGGGTGCCAGCTGCGAAAGGGGCGCCAGCGATAGCCGGCGTTTTACTTATTACGTAACTAAAACCTGGAACTAAGAAAAACAAAAAAAAAAAAAATTTTGTTGGTTTTTAATTTGGATATTTTGTAATAAAAAATATTAGCAATTTTTTATCGTTTTTGTATGTTCTACAAACTGATGGGGAGCGCTTGGAAAAAAGTGCCTAGGGGCGCTTTTTTTGTAAATCCGGCTCTGGATACAGGGGGTGTCCCAATTTGTAAAATTTTCAAAAAGACCCTGTAGCTCAGAAACGAAGAGAGCTATGAAAATTTTGTTTACAGCATCTTCCATTTGACAAAAAGTTGGATAGATTTGTGCAAACCGTACCCTTCTATCATCACTATAACGGAGATACCGTATGATTACAACTAAAATCGGACACCCTGTACTTAATTAACGACCATACTGTATTTCCTGTTAACTACTGTTTTAGTTCAAATTTGACAACAGTGCATTTATCAAGTCCGTTCGAAAGTTTTTTGTTGTATAATACTGTGCCCTTTCGGAGCTCGGTTGTGGCTCGGTGTCGATCCATCACAGTACAAGCTCGGTCGCTCTGACGTCAGACCCAACATCCCTCGTCCAAGGACCTTCCTGAACGTGGGTGACATTTAGGGATGCGAACAATAGATCGATGTTTGTGAAACATCGATGTACATTTTTCCTCAATATGTAGAATGTACGACAAGGGGGTTAAGCATCGCGATCTTTTTTAAGTTTCGTGCCAAGAATTTGACGAAAGCCAGTATCTGGGCCAGTT